ATTAATCAAGAGTTGACATTAATGGGGTGCAGGACCAAGACTTTACGTTCTCGATTCTTCCTTTGAAGAGGTAGTAACTTCTGAGGTCGACACGTTTCACGCTGCAGGAAAGATGGAGTGGTAATTATTACAGTCTCAGAAAAGATATCCAGACGAGTTACTGGCAGATGTTCCTAGATCGTATCATCTTGAAGACTGCATTCCACAAAGTCGATAAAAAAAAGCCAGCAAGAAAAGCCTGAAGACTGGAGGTGGTGAAGTGCGCTTGGGTGGGGCCTTGGTGGCCCTCTTTCTTGACAGCCGCTGCCTGGGTTTTTTCTTTGTCGGTCATTTCTTGAGCTATGGTTCAAAACGACGTGAAAGCATGCTGCATTGTTACCCATTCCGACAGACGCTCTGCACAGCGGTTGAAATTCTCGGCAGTGTCTGCTTGCTATGCGAGTGAACTATGAAGCTCCCCGTTCGAGATCTTCACTTTCGCCTTCATACCCCGAGCTCAGGGGCAGGGTGAACATGCCAAAGATGCACAACAGAAAGGTCCAGCTGTCCCACATGCTGTTTCCGAGGCTGCTGTCTCCCAACTGAGGCGCGTTTGCCGATTGTAAAATGCTGTGCACATGTCCATGGCAAACAAGGGTTTGCCATTGCCAGGTTCTGAAAAAGTTTGAATTTCATGGAATCTTTACAATCTTTTGCTGTGGTGACCTTGGGTCGAACACCAACGGCGTCGCCACAAGGTTTCCAGTCGGCATCAGATCCTCGTCTGTCAGGGTCTGCATTTTGCGTAGTATTCTTTCCTCAGACGTTCCAACTGTCTGTGCCTCCTGTTCATAACAGGGCCAGGCGGTCAGGCCAGACGCCTTGTTCTGCCGATTCTGACTCTGCATGGGCCAAAATTCTTTTTGAAAGGCATGTTTGAAGAGGCGGCGGTGCTGCAACCCTCATTGGCTTGCTCAGAATCGGTGGGCCCACTGAAGTTAGCGCTTTCTCGTGGTCTTCTGCTGTAGCAGAGAGCTCCCACTGAGCAAAACCGGTGCGCATCTGGAGACGTAGATTCCGTGTGGCGGCTGGCTACAGGCACCACAATCGCACGCGCACTCGCACCTGCCTGCATCCAAGGACACTGCATCGGCTGCAATCAACGGCTGCGCATGCTGCAAGGCAAGTTCCTGGCTCCTTTCCCAAGTGTATTTGCCGGTCACTGAGCCATAACTTGACCGACACTGAAGTCACCGGGCCACCACGCATGTTGCAAGTGATTCTTTCATCACTGTTTGTTTTGGCTACCCCTGCTTCTCGATGCAAAGTTCCCGGCAGGGTCGCAGGACCCCTGCTGGTTGTGCATGGCAACTGAAGCCTCTGGGACCGAAGTGCCTCTTTTCAGAGGCAGCTCGAGGCTTCGATGCGGCGGTTGTTGGCGAAGCTTCCCCAGGCTCGAGCCAAACAGAGTGCTTTCTTTTTGGCTTCAGCCGGAGCTAGAGTCTAGAGTCGAGTCTAGAGGCATGTGGATGAGGGAGTCACCCACGATCTCTGCAAGCCTCGTTAGGCAAGTGTACTGCAGGAAACTGGGACATCTTTGCAGAAAGCTGTTTCCAGTACACTACCGGTCGGATCTGCTGTGCATCAGCAACAAGTACAAGAGCTGCAAAACAGCAATAGGCCGGGTTGAATGTGCCGGGTCACCCGACCGCCACAACGCACCCATAGTAGAGGCAAGACACTCTGAACGCAAGTATGGATGCCCCCAGTTCCCATCATTCTACATTCTAGGCTTGGGGGGAGTTCTTTCTTCCTGGCTTCTACCGCTCGCTCCCAAGTTGCAGGAAGTCTCACGATGCTGGTGATATGTGAGATCTTTAGATGGCGAGGCTAGGATGCTGCAGGTCTCACAACACTCCCGCACCAAGCTCAGGCATATAGACGACAAGACGCTAGCATTACCGTTTTTGAGGCAAGACCGAGACCTGAAATTCAGCCCGAGATCACGAAGTTTGTCCTCCTGCATGATCCATCAAGACTTGGTTGTGCTTATTACAGCATGCTATTCCAAGTGCATGTGCGGAGAAGGCAAGCATCCATGGAAACATGGACATGTTTAGAAGGGCGAGGAAGATGCCAGCTTATTCCCGCGACTTTCGAACAGGCTTCCTCGCCGGAGCAGGCTTCAAGGGAGGGCGGGTGATTCAGGTTTTCGTGTGCGGAGTCCGGAAGTCCGGTTCCTGTCGCTTTGCCTTGCCTACCGGGCTCACTGTAATCAGGATCTTGAGTACCGGAAGGAGACCGCACAGAGCTATGTGTAGTTCCAGACTTGCGGTTCTGCATAGCTGCGGCCGGCGCGCGGTCGCTGCTGTCTCCTGCTGCGCCTATGAACCCGTAGCCTCGCCTGTGGTATTCCAGCTGCAGCTAAAGCACTAAGTGATGAGTCACGGTCTGCAGTGGTACAGATGCAGTACCCTCGGCCCTCGAAGCTTCTCGGGGAGCCCTTTGGCAGGTCACCCTGCAGATGGCCAAGTTGGATACCCGCCTCGGGCTAATTGCAGAGGCACCGGCCATGCTTTGCCCCTACCAATGGGCCAAGACCCCTGCAAAACTTTGGGTTTCTGATGTTTCGCAAGATCAAATAGCCGGACTCGCTCAAGCCATTCTCCACAGTAATGGTCAGCTGGTTGAAGCGCCGTTTGAATTTGCACCTGTGGCATCTGGCATGTGCGCAGTGTATTGTCGTGTAGCAACTGGTTTGAAAACACCCCGGGCATTCCGCTGAAAAGAGCTGTCGGATAGAAGCCAAGCCGCCAGGAAGCCTTCCCATCCTGTGTTCTGAAATCATCTTTCATGAAGGACCCAACTGTTGAAGCGCACTAGCAGAGCCTGGCAATTCGGAACTGGCTTAATCAACGGAGTCTCTGTGAAGCGGCTCAGCAAGAGTTGGGAGTCTTGAAGTATCGACGAAGTAACAGAATCTGGAGCCTGGCCTCCGGCATTGATCGGTGGAGTCTTGCGACGAAGAGTTCAACGCATGGAGTTTTGCTATCGCCTGTTTGTCACGGATATGCTTTGTGGAATGTGGAGCTCTCGTTTCAGAGCTGCCCCAGCAACGCTGGCCCCAGTCGCACCACAACGACGAAGAAGCACGTTCCTCAACACCGGCGTAGTTTGCACCCTGAAGCGGTTTCGGCCGCGAAGCAGCTCAGCCTCCAGCCTTGCCCATCCCGACAGGAGCTGTCGGAGCTGCGTCGCTCAGACCGAGATGTGAAGTCGATGAGTTCCAGGGTGCAAGATCTGCAGAAGCTCCTCTACCTGCTCCAGGCCCCCACCTCTTCCGGGGTGGCTTGGGGCCAAGCAGCCTTCATGGACAAAACTGCGTCATCTGTTCTAGGGGAGGGTGTCGATATCGGCGCGGCAGTGAGAGCTCGTCAGCCCTCGAGGCTGAGGTCATCCACGTGGAGCAGATGGCAGCGAGCTGGGAGACGGTGCCTCGGGACCTTTTGGGACCTTGGGGCATTCCTCTTTCTCTCAGAAAGGACATGCTGAAGCTTTTAATGGTGCCAGGTGCTGAAGGCCGGCGAGCGCTCCAAGCTGCTTGGTCCGCCTCGGGTATGTCTAGGTTGCGGCTTTGGCTTTTATCTTTGAATTTAATCTTGGACTTAAGCGTGCATGCTGGAGTGGCTCTAGGGCTTGTCGTGCACGAAGCTACAACCTATGAGCCTGCTGACTGGACGAGACGTTCCTGGGTATCGGGAAAGCGTGGTGAGCCCGCGCATGTTCTGCACTGCCTCCTGCAGCATTAGTAAGTCGAAAGCACAAAAGACTCAACAGACGCAACCATGAGGATGCATTGTGGCGTGTCGCGGCTCCAGAGTTCTGTCCAAACGATCCACAGGCAGCTGGATGAGCTTCTCGGTCTTTCAGTGAGGGAGCCAGTCAGGGAGCTCCTGCAGCTAGATTAACTGAGGCTAGAAAGCGATTGTGTAAAGAGAGGTTGCAATGTGCCCACTCCGTTACTCTGCAGACTGATTCAGTGATGCCTCTAGCTTATGTACAAGGCTTTGGCTTGACACCCTTGCTGCAATTGTGCTGCCGACGCCATGTATGCCCCGAATAGCGTGCATCACGCGATTGCAGTCGCAAAGGCTAACTCAGCAGGCAGTGGAGGGCGAGATGGGCGACCCGCGGTCAAATCCAGATTATGCACCCACACACCTGGAGGCCTCGAGGGCTTAGGGGTTGGCGCTCACGGATAACACACGCATGCCGGGTGTTTGGGGCAGTGTTGGGTTTCCTGTGCTGGTTCAGGTTATTACCGTCCATGACATGGTATTCTTCAGCCGACTGTGCACTCCATCGACGTTCAGGGATTGCAGTGTCGCCCCAAGCTGTACGTGGGATAAATCTGAAACTTGATATGCACTGCGCTGCACTGTAGGATCGAGGCACTTCTCTTCATGGTTCCGCTTGCATGAGGGCTTCAGCCCCAGAGGCTTGATCTTGAAGTTTGCAAGGGGGCGCGGTACCTGTGCAGCTGTGATGCGGTTCTGAGTTCATCCGCCGTCGAATGGTGCACGTGCAACTCGCTGACGCATGGATTCGACGCAAGGTCTTGCCGGTTGCTTGATGAATTCGACTCTGTTAGGCGACGTTGGAGGCCATCAAGGAAGAGGGCACTGCCTCGGACCGGAGTCAGCAAACTTTGATGGCGCAGGGTGCTGCCCCGAAGCTTGGCCAGGTGGGTTGTTTGGCAAGAAGCACGAAACTCCAGTGATTGAGTTGTCCTCAATGGTTTCAACCCAGGAACATTGAAGTGATGAGCGTTCTTCAAGGCCGTCTCCACTTCTTCCAGGTGCCAGGGGTGTTTTCATGGCATAGCAGCCGACGCGGTGAGAGAATCAGGAATGTCACAGAACATCTATGTAGCTGCTTGTGGCAACTACTTCTCCCTGAAAAATGTCAATTTCTGGATATTGGAGCCAGAAAATTCAGAAAACCGCGGCCATCGCACAAAACAGGCTGTCACAACTGAGCAGGATGTACTTACAGTTTCAGGAAAAGTAAGTCAACGAAATGGCTTGCTACACGAGTTGAGATCCGAGGGGTACTGATCCGACGGGCTCATGCAATCCGGGAACAGTATCTCAGGACCCGAGACACAATCTGACGAAACAGCCAAAAGATTTTTGGAACAATGGGCTACAGGGTTGCCACATGCAGCTGTGTACTCTGTTGCACTCACGCCGAGACGATTCGCAACGACAGGAGCTCTTGCGCTGCGTCACAGAGGCCGTGGCCAAGCACTTTGGATTCCGATACATGCGGGTAGCTTCAATTCAAGCTACAGCTACCGATGTCAGCTTCACATCACAATGCTTTTTTTGGGTTCTCCCTCGAGGCTGTCTTGTAATCACACTCTGATACTCCAGTGTTGTACTGCCTCACGTAGTGGGTCCATACCCACTCGAGCGCAAAACAGCTCCATGTTCTGCTAAGGAACGACCATGCCTCCACTCTGCAAAGCATCGTGCGCCATCGGCCCCAGAATCTCGGATGCTTTGCCTTGCCCGTGCACGCTGGCCCTTGCAAAGCTGGCGGGTCAGAGCGGGAAGTCTCGGGGCTTCGGCTCCGGGGCGCAGGCGGAAGCAGGCAGAAGCAGGGAAGCTGTTGGGCCCAGTTCTTACTGGATTTGCATTTTGTTTCGCTCGGACGGACTTGCGCTTGCGGGCCGGCAAAGTACTTGTGCATGACGTCGCTTTCACCGAGCGACCCAAGAGCTCCAGATTCTGTTAGTCTCAGGAATCCCAAGCGTGCTGGTCTGCCTGCACTTTCCGCACGCCAGTCCCCAGAGCTGGTCGAGGCCTGGGCGTGGTGGGGGTGACGTTTTAGGCATGCATAGGGTCTAGCTACGAAGACATGCCTGGACGTCGGAAATATGAATTGTAGGTGATTGCTTTGTTGGGATGGAGATCTGGGTTCAGCCACGAATTCCAACTTTCTTCGGCCTCCGACCACCAGGAGCCGCCACAGATGCCGCCGCCAGTGGAGCAGGAAGTTCGGCTAAGGGCAACCGATTTGGGCTTGCGATGTTTGCAGGTGTGTTTGTGGGGGAAATGCAGGTTGCACCAGGTTGCGCAATGTTCATAGGTGAGAGCAGCTACCCGGAAGCAACTGCACTCACAGAGAATCGTCCCGCACAGAGGTTCGAGCAGACCTCTGCGAGTCCTCGCCGTTGCCGCCTGACCGCGGGCCGGCAGCAATGGGGCGCCGGGAGGTGCGGCTTTGAGAGGGTTCGGATTTGTTGCTTTTGAGCTGAAGAGTGGAGGGCTCGGGCTACGGGGCAAGGTGTTGGCATCCAGAGATCAGTTTGGTGTTTGAACAGGTGGTGAAGTTTCACTGTCACAGATGGAGGCCCTCGGCCCGCATGTTCTCCATGCGTTTAGATTTTATAGTGGGGGACTTTTCGGGTTGGTCTCTGCCGGAACGCTTCTGGCAATCTCCTCAGGCATCTGCCCTGCATGCCACGGATTGCTAAATAAAGAACCAACCACAAGGGTTCCAAAAGGTCAATTTGAACATCCGAAGCCCAAGCGTCTTGGTTCTGCTTCTGCCAGATATCCTTGGCACAGATGCGGGAGGAAGTCGACGAGGAGAGGAAGCCGGGGGCCCAGCAACGGTTCATAGTTCGAGATGCAACCCAGCGATGCTGGGAGCGGATGGTTGAAGAGATGATCTGTGTTGATTCTCGCATTCCACTTGATCGTGCCAGCGCTACACAGCCAGGCGCTACATTGCATACCATCTTGTGCGGGATGAACACCGCGCTCCTGCTTCCTTGTCGACAACCCAAGCTTCCTTCTTCTGATTGCCAGGCAGCGGGAATCCCGTACACGCCCTCGAAACTACCCATAGCCTTAGCCCTGCAGGCACCGGCACCAGCTTCAGATGGGCCCAGTGACGCATTCGGGTAGACATATATGCTACGTGCAGGGTGCGGTATTGCTGGGGTTGAGTTGCCGGGCCTCGCTACTATGGCAAGGCAAAAGACAGGAACGACATGGATGTAAGTTATAAGCGTTTCCTTAGTCCGTGCCTCAAAAACGTTGCAAGTGCTGCCCGATCGGGATGTCAAACCAGCGTGGACTGCACGCGACTCTCGGCGCACGTGCATGCAGCACCCATCCAGATACGAAGCTGGTAGTGATTGAGCAGCTGAGCCTGCACTTACCTTTACACGTCGAAAGCGATGTAGATTATGGACAGAGACCGCCTGTCTCACTGCTCCAATGCGAACTCCGTCTCCGAGAGACCTTCGCAGCAGCCATAGACAGAGGGGAAGCTCTCTTCTGCCTGTGCATTGAACCACTTCAAGAGATTTCAGTCTCTGGGCTTCCTTGGGTATCGGCCTCGCCTCGGCCAGCCGTTGCACAAAAGGGAGCTTCCAACCTCTGCAGTCACAGATCGCTGCAGAAAACCGTGCGGCGCATCGCAAGCATGAGTCATGTGAAAACGACCATGGAGGCCATGAGGCATTTCGACAGTTCTATCTTAGGGCACCTTTTCAATTTCAGATTCCCATCACTCGCACCGCTTCACACTCCGCCGAGCAGTTCTACGAATGAAAGAAGGCCCCTTCTACCCCCATTCCCGAACTCCACGAATCTCGTCCAATGAATCCCAACCAGCCCAGACCCAGCAGAACGTGCCCCTGACGTGTCATCACTTACCCGCAACATGCCTTTTGATCCATATTTCATTCCGGCCGAGACGATGATTCCAAGCGCACCCAAGATCCCATAGAAGGTGGACGATGGAAGTGATGACCCGCCTACGGCTCAACAATTCCCTGGAAGGCAGGGGTTGCAGCTTGGAGTCACAGACCCTCGTTGCAAAGCCAGTGTCAAAGAACTTGCATCGACTCATTCTGCGTTAGGATCCGGGATGCGATTGAGCTTGACTCTCGGACAGAGTCCGAGCTGTTTCAGAGCTGAGGTGTCTCACGCGCAAAAAACACGCTGGCCTGGACTAACAGAGCCCCCAAGCAGTCAAGCATCATGCCCATCAGACCTTTGGCCACAAGCGGCAAAATGCGGACGCACAACACACTCTCGTGCTGGGCTTCGAGTCGGAACACCCAGAGCCAGCTGCGCAGCCAGGCTGAGTGCTTTCGTTCAATCACGTCTCTCTGTGGAGGAGTTCCCCATCCTGCGCGAGGCCTTTCCAAAGCAAGATATGGTTCTAACAACAGCTTGAACCGTACCCCAGCTCTAAGTTCATTCCTACCAATGCGAGCTGAATGTCTGACTCGTCCACTGAGTGTCGCGTAAAGTTGCCACGCACCTGAGGATATGATGATATGACCACTGTAGTCGGTATGACAAATATAAGATTTAGCGGCGTCCTAGAAGAACTGGGAACTCGTTACGCCGAATTACGCACCTTGAATGCACGGGCCGGCCCGAGAGAGAGAGAGAGAGAGAGAGACGGAGAGCGAGCACAGGGGACTACCCTTGTGCCCATAGCCCTGGCGAAAGAAAGAGAGAGCGAGAGAGAGGGGGGTCTCCCCTCTGTCCATAACCCTGCCGAAAGAGAGGGGTGTTTCGGGGGTTGGGGGGCTTGGACACAGGCACATCCGGGGCAACAGGGATATCACTTAACCCCGAAAGGGCCCAAGCCGACACACAGACGCGCGCCTTAGGGGACCCCCATGCCCGGGAGGGGGAGAGAGAGAGAGGGAGGTATGCAGAAGAAGAGAGGGAGGCAAGCCAACCACGGGCAGGGGACCATTGCAGTGCACACGCAATCTACAGAAGGGAGAACGATCATGTTCAAGAAGAAGATCGACCCACGTGCAAACGGGTCCCGCACGTTCTTAGTGCTTGAGGCACACTCGGCCGTGACCACAGACCCTTGAGCCCCACAGAAAGAAAGAGGGAAAGAGGGGGGAGGGAATGAGAAAATCAAAGAACATATAGAGTGCATATAGTGACATAGAGGAAAGACATTCAGAGCCCTGGAGGCAGCTTACCAGCGTGGCTTCCTTCACCGCCTGGACGGGTGTGGGCTTGCATAGGCTTCCATTATTAAACAAAGCAGCATTGGGAATGGATTTTGACCAGCTCAAAAAGGCGATGAAACCTACCTTCCTGCCTACCTTCCCACCTACTTACCTACTTACCTATACCTACCTCCTACCTACCTACCTCTACATGAATCTGCGTGTACACATACATACATGCACGTAGCCATGGGGAAGACACGCCACGATTCTGATCTAGGCTTGTGCTGGCAGACTGGAGACAATGCCTTTGTGTTGGCAAAAGGCGGCTGGTGTGGGTTGAGGTTCTTGTTTTAAGGCGGTGGTCGGCAGGATATTGATCTGGGCTTAGAGCTTCGCATGCAGACAACCGATAGATGAAACAGGCATTCAACGAGTGGCTGCTGAAGCTCAAACATGTCGCCGGACCTGGAAGGTAGCGTTCGTGGAAGCTGTTCCCTCTAACTTAGATCAAGACCCGGACTGACCTAGCCCGAAGTCCAGAATGCTTTGATTTCTGACACGCCGCAGCTCTTCAAGGACGTGCCTACCTCGGGGCTTATCCTGGTCGCGAAAACTCCGGGTGCCAACTCCTCAGCTCTCATGTCTGGCGCAGCAGAAACCAGAATGTAACCAGAACTTCTTTAGGTGTCTTCTTGTCTGTCTTTGGGTGTCCGAAGCTTCCAGAGCCAGAGCAACATGCAAACAGAAGGCCCTTGTATGAAACAAGCAGTTTTGCACCCGAGGCCTACCTGGCCATTGCCTGAGACAAGCGTTCTGCAGTGAGGGCTGAATGTCGTCCGATCTCGCCTGTAAACCCCATCTCTGGGCAGGTATTTCCTTGTCGCCAGGGCATGCCTTGCTACCTTTCACGAGGGGCAAAGTGTTGGGTGGGCATGAGGATCTTCGTCTTCAGATGGCAGCTGGCAAAGTGGCGCGGCACTCGGAAAGCAAGATTGCGTGGGCCAGTCGAGTTTTGGGAGCCCTCCATCGGCCCTTGCAGATATGCAGACTGCCAAGAAGTGCAATGCAGCGGGACGGACGGACTATGCACTGGATCCGATTGCTTAGTAGTGCTGTCATTGAGCCGATTAAATTTATTCAATTATGACCGTCCTACCACGGCTAAGAGGCGTAGCTGTAAATGCGCGGCAATGGGAGCTGAACCCGTGTAGGCATGCAGGAAGTTAAGGCTTTTACGGCAGGGCAGAGGACCTGTGGATACAAGTGATTGAATTGGACTGATTTCCCTGCGTTACCAGTGGTTTTCGGAAAAAGGCCGGGGTTGCGCATGAAGAATTTCTAAGAAAAGTAGTTACGTGCCTACTGTAGCTTTCAGCTGGTCCGCGCTGAGGCCAGAGAGTATGCATCTCGGCTTCAGAGTTTCCTTTGCTTCGAGCTGTTGGGACGGGGTGGTGCTCGGCCGGACAGTTTATTTCCACGTCCTTTGCGAGGTTGTCGTCTTGCACGGCAGCTGCAGCCTGCCATCCGAGAGAGAGGTTTCCGTCCGCATCCACTGGGGCATGCGCGGCCGGGATGCCCCGAGCCAACCGGCAGCACAGCATTGCCATTGAAGTCTTCACACGGTTTTCAGCGCTGCAGCTTGTGCGGTCGGGTCGTCGTCTTTTCTGCTCATGCTCTTGACCTGGAAGTAGAGACGCGAAAGCAGACTACAACCAAGTTGCAGCCAGAAGGCGTGGTGGCGCCTTTTGGGAAGCCTGCAGACACCAGGCACCACCCTTTGTGTGGGTTGTTGCTGCAACGTAGAGGTTCCGGATTGGATTTAGGCCTTCAGCACTTGTTAGCCTAGCCAAGGGTGGATTGGATGTCTTTGTAAGGTCCCGATGGCAGAGGCATGGTCTACAGTTCCGAATGTGCTTTCTTATGAACAGGGGTAGGTAGGACCACATGGGGAACACGCCTTTCGAGGCTGTTTCGGAATTCGGATTTACTACGAACTTGGAAGTCTTGTGCGGAGTGCTTTGGGCCCACACCGCAACGAGGGACTGACCGGTGCTCTCGCCTTGCTGTGCACCATTGCGCGGCTGCGATGTTGGGACACTGTAAAGCTGATTTTGGGCTTCTTCCACAGAGCCTTTTTCGGGACTTTCCTGTACTCGGGCACAACTGGAGGTTCAAGCTCCTGGCTCGCATGGCTCTGGGTGCCAAACTCTTGAGCATGGCAGCCGTCAGCATCGGCACCGGCAGAAGGCAGGGGATGAAATTCATGGGTACTTATTTCATTGGCCTGTCTCCCTCTTGCACCGGTTAGGCACGGCTACTAGGTCACAAAATGAGTGATAAGTGAGCATTGGAGAGGGGGATACTTCTTGACAGGCTTGGGTAGGGGTATTGGACTTTGAACCTCGACATTGGACTTAGGCACCAGATTCGTCTCCATGCAGCACATATTGGGCACCCGGTGGCAGCCGATGGCAAATATTCCTGTCGGGCGCTTACACGCTCTGCCGTGAGTCTGCCGTGAGTCTTCACTAGCTGTCAAGATGTCGACACCTGACTTGGACTTGGTCTTGAGTTACAAGATAAAGTTTGGGAGGTTTCTTTTGACCTTGCCGGCTAGCGCCTGCGAGTTTGCCGAACTGCGTGCACTGTTGCACAGTTTCTGGCTGTCATCCACGGGGTCCAGCTGCAAAATAGTTCATTGGGGGTTGTTGAGGCAAGTTTTCCTCATTGTACCCAGGGTGAACTTATCAACATATTTCAACGTGGAGATAGGAGGTCGAGCCTTGTTCCATGAAGACTTCCATGGAGCATCATGCTGCCTGTTAGGGTTCGACACTTGGCTTTCTTGGCTTGCTTGAAAAGGCCTGCATGAAACCTGTGCTCTGACAAGCCGTGTTGTAAAGGCCGGCAAAGCGTGAGGTGAGTCCGACTGCACGAGCCGAGCCTTTACAACCTTTCAGCTTAAGAACGGAGAGTTTCGGAAGCCACGAGCCTGTAGACTTTCGGAAGAGCTGTAGACCTGAGGTCACTCGACATGCTCGGAGGACTTGCTGTGGTGTCCAAGCCACTTGGGTCTGTCAAGAACTCGGGATCTCCGGAACTTGGGCCCTGGCAGTGGCAAGCAACAAGGCATTGCAACATCACAGTTTCAACATTTGTCAACCATGTCCGTCAGCTCACGAATTAGCTGTGCTGCAGCTCCTGGTCGTAGTCAGCTGCCGATGTGTTGCACTGGTCCTCGATAGGTGGAGTTGCAGAGCGGATTGAAATGACCAAACATACCATATAAGAAGCAGGCGGAATCTCAACTGTTGCGCCGTCTCTGATCGTGGCAAGGCACCTTTCTCCACCGCTATCGCCTGGCATTCTGGGCCCCTTCGAATGGACGGCAGCCAGATACCCCATTGGAGGTCAGCAGTTGCAGTTCTTGTGTTCTCCACTTCACATTCCGCACGTGGGAGATCACTGCTGCCTTGGGTAGAACCGAGGTTTGCCTAGTCACTGTTATGTAGAGTGCCAGTGTTGCTCTCATGCCCCAAATGCCAAACTGCACAGGTTGTTGTATGGACATTTGTTGTTTGTGTGTGAAGCCAATAGAGTTCGAACAACGATAGCCACACGGCCTGGACTTGTTGTCATAAGCAGTGTCGCGCGATGATGCTATGCTTTAGAGCGTGCTGCAAGATTCAAGGCTGTGGCACCAGGAATGTTTGTTGGCAGATCCAGATCTGCTGCTCTTTGTCAGGCGAACGAGTGCCGCCTACCCCTCTCGCCGCCCATGAGGGAAGCGCTGAGGCGGCATCATGACTTGAGTTCCAGGTGTACCTGGGTTGCTGGGATGTTTGATTCGGGCTGCCTGGGTATTTGTTTCGCTTTTTCCGGGTTGTCTCATCTTTTTCACTCTGCTCGCAAGCTGGCACGTTCTATCCGGGGTGGAAGTGTTAGGGGTTGGGGGGTGCTCCCAAGTTGGTGAGAGCCTTCTCATTTTCAAGTTTCTGCGGTGAAAGCTTACCTGGTACGCCGCGGACGGGGCATTCCATACATTTCCCGAGTTGCTGCCCATTGCGAGAACCCGGGTTTCCACCGGCCGAGCTGATCCCATGCATTTGTTACTTGCCTTCAGAAGTTTGAGCGAGATTGATTAATTAGCTGGCAGATAAGTTTGTCACGACGGGGTCCAGAATTTGGTAATCAGCATTCTCGGATGTGCTGACAGCTGACACAAGAAGTGGTTCCTCAGAGGGAATTTTGAGTTGCAGGGCAGCATGCAAGGGCTGCAGCCCGGCCCACATATCCCTTGCACCCCATAGGCCTAAAGATCCGGCAAAGTTCTGTCAGGCTGCTGTCGCCTGTGAGTCCTCGTTCAGCGCGGGAGTTGCTTGGCTTAGGAGGTGGACAGGGGAAGCAGCCCACCACTTCGACTCACATTTCCAAGCCTTACAGACGAGCCGGCTGTGTGGCTTCTCTGAGTGTTGTGTTGATTTTGGCTTACAGTAACCTTCTGGTGCAGATCCTTTCTCAAGCAAGGGAGGGTGTCTTGTGGCAGCGAGGGGACCCGAGGCCGACTAGGACGGGCTTTTGTTTACCCCTTAAAGATGCCGAGACGAGCCTTCTTGTGCGGGAACCAGCATCAACACGTGGGTAGAACTTAGCGGAGACCGGCGCAAGACTGTGCTGAGGCTGTCGAATTGGATTTCCGGTGATCCGTTCGACCTGAAGCCCTTCAACGACTATTGACGTTTCTTTCACTCGAAGGAAGCAGCCAGCACACACAGCAGCAGTTGAAGCCAAGGGGCCTTGGAAGGCACAGCGGGTTTGGGATCCGACTCGTGCTGGCGAAGTGGTGTGCAAGCGAAAAGGGCCATGCCACCTCAGTCGGAGTGTCCCTGTCCTGCGGAAGTCGACGCGAAGAACTAAAAGAGGCAAGAAGTAAGAACCCAACCCAACCCTAGATAGATGGACATACTTGCTTTATCTTGTCATTGGCATCGAGGCAAAGACGCTTCGGAGGCAATGCCTCTCGTTTGCCGACGAAGGCGCTCCGATATGGTGAAAGTTCAGAGGGTTGTGAGACCAGAGATTGCTTTGACAGAGGCCGCCTTTTGGTCACCGTGGGGCCCCACTGGTGTATCATTTTTGCTTCACTGACAGCACAAGCGCAATCTCCAAAGCCACACCGAAAAACATCGACGCCGCTAGCTGTGGATGGTTATGGACATGGCCTTCCTTCGAGCATCACAATAGCAAGGCCAGGGTCAGGCTGTACAGTCATGGAGCCATTCGGCTTAAGCAAGCACGGACAGTTCATGGTGAATAGCCCGAATAGCAATCGAAATCACGGCCAGCACCCTGCGCGAACAAAGGCGCTCCAGTCGGTGTTGGAGCTACTGCGTGACAAGGATGAAAGACAGGCCGACCGCACATTGGCGTCGGCAGGGTTTAAGCACCAGGGTCACCAGGGTCCCTGCAGATGCTTCTGACGCGATGGCAGGCCCCCAAAGAATTTGGACTCGATATAAGACTCGTATCCAGGGCCAATACGTATTCAGATTGTCGGTTCACGTGTGTGTGTGTGTGTGTTTGTTTGTGTTTGTGTGTGTGTGTGTCTGTGTCTGCGCGCGTGTTTTTCTTGTTTGTGCATGTGTGTGTGTGTGCATTCGCTTGGCTGGCCGTGAGAGAGAGAGAGAGAGAGAGAGAGAGTGTGTGTGTAGCAATCCTCATGCCCATAGCCCTGCCGAAAGAAAGAGAGTGTGTGTGTGTGTGTTTGTTTGTTTGGTTGGTTGGTTGGTTGGCTGGCTGGTTGGTTGGTTGGTTGGTTGGTCGTTNNCGTTCTTTCCTTCGTTCCTTCGTTCGCTTGTATGTTTGTGTGCTTGCTTGATTTGTTTGTGTTTTGTTCGTTTTTTCGTATTTGGCACGCCAGGTTTGCTTTGCGTTTTTATTGGCCGTAGGCCTTCAGGCTGGCATAAACTTATAAAATGCATGACCCCTCCGATTGTCCCATACATGCTGTCGCTAGAAGCAGACCAGCGGCGCAGGGCGGGATGGGTTTCTCTAATTTTCGGACAAGGGTCTATGCAACCAACGAGAGGGGCCTTCTCGATGTGCTTGCTTTCGAGGTGAGTTGGGAGTCGATGCCCCAAACCAATCTCCGTGTGCAGGCATCTCCAGCTGTTGAAGTCCCGGGATGCACTGGAGCCTCGGCATGGCCTTCGGCTAGAGTCGTCCTAATCCCCTCTAGCTCGTGGGTCCGGTCTTCGGATGTAGGACCGTGTCAGGTGGTTCAGGTCGAGATGTGGCTGCGGTCCGAACGGCAACTAAAATTCAGCTGTTTCGAGGAGCGGGGATGGGGAACGTGATAGTGGCAGCCTGTGGCAGCTGTGCGGGCACGCTCATGACCAGCAGGCGCCTGGATTGCTCCACATTTTTACACTGGTACTGTGTCGGTGT